TATGACAAGTTTTTCACTCTCTTAGCAGAAAGAATAGAGCACTGGCAACAACAGTGAGTAATCCCTGGATGGGGCACCAAAAAGGTAAAGACAGCAACCTTGGAAGTAGAGGTGTGCAGAGGAAGAAACTGGAGGGTGGGAGAGCACCAACCCAGTGAAAATTGGCCGAAAAACCAAACACATCAGCTGAGGCACCGTCCATATTACAGCCGATGGTGACACGTCCCTGATTCCCAGGATGAGTAATGAAGCGCAAAACTAAATCAAATCACTGCACCAAAAATTTGCCTTTTTTTAAGGTGCCTGAGTAATTATGAGAACTAGAAATGATCTGAATAATATGAGTAGGATTTGAACTAGTGAGTCAGTCCACGTACACAACATCAAAACGAAGATGATCCAGTACACTCTCTTTGCAATTCAGAAGAATGCTACAACTCATTCCCTAAATCACTGCTTTTTAAAAAATCGGCTCTAAAAAAAGAGGCAACCATTTGAAAAGGCCGGGAGCAGGAAGACAAGAAGTGACTCATAACTCCAACAGCTTGTAGCCTCAAACCATAGCAAGAATATAAAACCCGTGGGCCTTGTCTGAAACAAAACCGAGTTGTTGTTTCAGCTCTAACCCCATGAGGTTGGGATCTAAGGACTATAGCATTGCAAACATCTTACAAGCATTTGGGACAAGGTTACATATCTATGCCTTCGATGTGTGTAGTTACTTCCATAGCTTCCTAGCTATAAATCTGACATCTATATTCATGGAGAAAAGACCATCCAAATGTAACAATTTTCATAACGCTGAAGAACTCTTAGAATTCAAGTCCACCCATTTCAAATCCCACACATATCAATGCTGACATTTTGGAAATATTTTTTAATACAGGTAACGATATTTAACATTTAGCATGAGTATCTCATTTCATTCACCGTGATACTTACGGCTATGTGTGACAGTTCTGAGAGGGATGTACGAAGCAAACACACTCTGGAAACCATCCTGAGATCTGCCTCCAAAGGGAGGTGGAGCACCACCACCTCTACTTCCCCGATCTGCCCGCCCCTCCCTCCCTCCTCCCCCACTTACAAGAAATCATCAATGAATCTGGGGGTGGGGGACAACTTTTTTCACATATTTGTTTGCCAAAGTCAACTGTTTCCTTTCCATGAGAAGCATGTACACAAAGTTTAGGTGGCATTAGAGACAGCTGGGCCTCTGCTTACTGACTTTGTGAGGTGGTCCTAAGCTTTCAGCTTCAGCAGAGCTTTTAGCTGTGTAGCAACAGGGACCTCCAAGAAAAGCACCAGGGCTGGAAAGAGTGTGCAGGATGCAACACAAGTTTGGAGCAAAGTGTATTTCTTATCTGGTACCAGTAGCCCTGGAAATGCCAGTTGTAAGTCCACAAACTTTCCAAATGCCATCTCGTTACGATTCCACTCTTAGGTGACAGGAATGTGCAAGCTACTTATGGTTTGCTCGTCTGCAATTTTTTAAAAATTACTGGCTCCTTGACCAACACAAAGGTCTGACATTTAAGTCAGCATTCACCTCCTTCATCAAACAGCTTCACATTTACTAAGAAAATGTTAAATTGCATTCTATGATGAAATAAAACTAACAGTTAAGGTAATCTGGTATATTAATTAGCAAAGCAAAGCCTGAACTGAGAAACCCCCATAAGCAGAAGTTAGGAAGTAAGTAGGTATACCAACAACTAGAAAGCCACAAAGGGTTTGACATGGTGTATAGTTTTTAAAGACATCTCTTCTGCAAATACCAAATGAGTTTCACAGGCTATATCACAAGGCAATTTCCTTAGTTCCACCAAAATAAGAATCCAGCCTCTCCAGAAAGAGTGGGGAGAGTGCTTCTGTAGTTGCAAGTCCAGTGTTCGCACAGCCCCAGGAACAAGCACCAGTTCACAGAGAAACTTAACTCTCCATCCCAATTAATACAGGAATTTCTTTAAAAATAAGACATGAGCCTGTCGTTATTGAGAAGTTTTCTGTTTCCTCTCTACTTTGACTGGTATTTCCATTTAAAGTTTTTCCTGAAGCCAAATGTTTACTCATTACTATTGAAATTATTTGGGTACCCTGTTAATGCCAAGAAGAAAAATGCAAGATCCTAAAAGGCCAGAGAGGGTAAGAAAAAAATGATCTAGGAAAAGGAGTGTCTGCCACTCCACTTGGCATCCTGCAGCAGCCAGCTCACGGGCTGGCTTCCTCCCCTACTCACATTCAGTCCCAACGATTTGAGCAGACTCACAATCCCTGGCCGCACAACAGTGACTGGAGCTGCTGGTGCCCACATCTCCCCAGAAGGCTCCTGTTCACTGCTGACGAGGCTGTTCGATGGGAGAGGAGCTGGCTTTCCCCAGTGAGGGGAGCACTGGGCAGTAACAGCAGAAAGAAACAAGGATACAGCCAGCAGAAGAGGGAAGTAAAAACCTGAGTTCTGCAGACAATGGCCCAATAAAATATAATATTAGCATCTATAACAACATCCATCAGACAGTGCAAACCAGAACAGGACCACTGTCTACAAATTCAGATAACAGACAACCGTTAATGACTGGCAGGCCACAAAGTAATTTCGAGAGACCAATCCACTGCCTTTTCAGCCTATACTGTATACTTAAAATGGAACTGTTTATGCCATCCTCCTCTGTAGGAACTGAGCACTGAAAATTCCACGTATGCTTCCACAATATTTTCTGATATTTCCATAAAATAATGAAGACTAATTTGAAGAATCCTCTCCCCATGAATCTTGATTAAAGGGAAAATGTGAAAGCAATACACTTAAGTAATTCAGCACCAAGAGCTGTTTTAACTCTTCCCTTTGAAAGTGGGTATGCTGGGGCATTTTTTAAGTTCCAGAATGTGAAGAGACACAGAGATTTCTGATCCTGCTATTACTTGGTTTCTTTTAAGCAATACTGGAAAACAAGTTGGTTCATCTAATTTAAGCCAGTAAAACTATTCTATGGTGGTTACAAGACCCAAAATTCCAAATGACCTTAAAGAACAACTCTAACAACTCAGCAAGGACAAAGCAAGTCAAACTGGGGGGTAGGGGGCCAGCAGGGAGGGGCTGAGGCTCCACCAGCCCACACCACAACCCTCTGATTCTTTTATTCTTCAGTGTTCAGGCTAGGTCTAGCAAGGTTTACATAGAAAGAAAAACAATAATGTGCCTCCTGCATGCAAACACACACATCCCTTTCTCTGTCCAGACACTCAATAAGACATTCATTAAGCCCTTTTTAAAAATCTGTACAGAGCACAGGGCTGAGTGCACATTGGTCCGAAGTGGTTTTGCCATCCTCTGGGCAGCGGGAACATATCACTCACCCTCCGAGAGCAACAGCTGGTCATAGGTGAGTGTCATCTAACAGGTGAGTGCGCCCCAAGTACATGTTTGTGTGACCGTGACCGCTCCCAGCGCAGCAGGGAGCCAGGACACACATTTGGGGCACTGTCCCAGACTCAAAGAAGCAAATGTGAGGTGATTTCCAGGCTGACAGGGGGAGGTGAGCAGGGCTGTGGAGTTCGGATGGCTCCCACTTTGCTGACACAGGTGGGGTGTTGACACTGAACCTTCGGATGATGCGGACATAGCAGAAGTGCTTGTTCAGAGAGAATGCATGAGTGACAGGTGCTGTGAATCACACAACAGTGGTGCAGATGAGAAACTAGAGTTCTGTGGGGCTGGTAAGCGAGGGAGAAAACCCATCTGAGCATCGACAAAATTGAGGAACTCCCGCAAATGTTTTCTAATACAGACTTCGTCCCTTCAAGCACTGTCCAGAGCACACACTTATCCACCAGTGTAAACCTCAACAGTGTTCCCTGTATGGCCTGCCTCTGGAACCCCTGGGGTACTAGCCAAGCCCCCACATCTTCAACCAGGTCAAACAGTGTCTGCTCAGCACAGAGTCCAGGAAGCAGCTTCTTTCTCTGGCTACGGGACTGTTAATCATTACAAAATATTGGGATGTCCTGCAGAACCCCAGATTTGAAAAAGAGAAATAGTCCGTGGACATCCGAAAAGGCAGCTAACACTACACCTCAGTCCCCTGGTTTATTCCTTTCTGCGCCCTGCAAGTGTTAAAAAGGAAGACATAAAGTCAACATCGGCTCCTCCCTACTGATGAAATTGGCACGAATGAATTTACTTTCTGGCTGCCGGCCCTCACAAAACCGTTACACACACACACACACACACACACACACACACACAAAGTTCACCACGCTGCACTGCTCCAAATATAAATCCGAGACGAGCCGGCCCCTCCCCACCCCACCACAGCCTGTTAGTGGTCTTTCGAGGGTGAGCCAGGTGAATACTAAATATATATTAAATATTAACATTTTAGAACTTCAGTGGCTTTTTTAAGACATAGCAAAACCCGATCTAAACTTATGACAGTTGAGCACATGATCCCACCATTAAGAGCAAATAAGAAACCGTACAGAACACTCCATGAAATCACGGCTGCAAATCTGTCACCAATTCCAAATCCCAGGGATGAGCGCGACGCAAGGAACCTGGCCTGAAGGAGGAGGTTGGAGACTCTCCCACCCTTCGCATCACAACACACACGAACAATAGTAGCACTACCTTCCCCGAGCAGGACAGGCCGTAGGAAAACCAGGATGCCTTGCACATCGGTGATCAAACCCTCAAGTCCAACGACAAGTTTCGCATTAGAACAAGGCCAGAACACCGCAGGCCGAGCGGCGCGAAGACGTCCCCAGCCTGGGCCGCGGGGGCAGAGCGCGGACGCGCACAAGGACACGGGCCCGCCAGGCCAGCAGCTACATCCCGCGCCCCAGGCCCCGCCGCAGCGCAGCCCGGCGGCGACACGCACTGGCCCAGGTGCGGGCAGCGACACGCACCGCAGGAACCCCGCTCCCCAGGGACCACGCGCCCTCCCACCGGCCCGCAGCGGCCTCCCGGAGACAGCACGGCGCGGCCCGACCGGGCCTTTTACCTTCCGACAGCTCCAGCTCCAGCTCGGCCAGCCGCGCCCGCACCTCCAGCGGCAGCGCCATGCCCTCCAGGCTGCGGTCCGCCATCGCGCCGCGCCCGCCTCTTTGTTCCAGGCCGCGGCTTGGCCGCTCCTGCGATCCCTGACCCGCACCGAGCGGCGGCACCGGCGGGCAGCGCTCCTCCTCCGGTACCTCCTACGCGCGGCCCCGCCGGGCGGCCTCGCGCCCGCGCCCCCGCGTTCCGCGCGCCCCCGGCCCAGCGCGGTCCCGCGGCTGCTCCGCTGCTCCGCCGGGTGCTTCTTGGTGCGCGCGGCAGGGAGAGCGCAAACAGGGCGGGGGCTGCAGGGCGGGGGCGCGCACTGGGCTCGGGGGGCGGGGGTGGAAGAGCAGGCGAGGACCTAGTGACGGGGGCGCGCACCAGCACGAACGCTGCGGAGGGGAGCGTGTGGGGTGCGCTAGGGGATTTGGGGTTGGCAGGATGAGGATGATGTGCAATACGGGGGCGCGCGCCAGGACAGGGGCGCGCACCGGGATGGCGACGCGCACCAGGGCGGGGACGGGCGGGCCAGCGCTGCGCGCGCTCCCAGGACGCACACACCAGCCCCGCCGGCCAGGCCGGCCCTCCCTGCCCCGCCCAGCCCTCGCCTCCCTCTGGTTCAAGGGAAAAAATACCTGCTGGAGACCGGCCTTAACACGCAGGTTGAAACTTCAAGTATTCTGGGTCTTCGAGGACTGAATTTGTGTGTCTGTGAATAGTTTCTTATGGGGAGAGGGGGGCGGGGACAGTTTGGGCCGTGGAGCGAGTACCCGGGCTGGAAGTTCCTAACTCTGATTGCAGAATCCACCAGCCTGTGCTCTTGGCTAATCAGTGGTCTGCCTGGCCTTGTTCCTCACATGCGAAAAGGAGGCTGGAAGAGAGGTGGAGTCAGCTCCTGTCCACATCCATGTAAGCCTAAGAGGTCGTGGCCAGTTTGCACAGTCCCCAGCATCCACCTTTCATAGGCTGGGGGCTCCTGTCGTCCTTAGCAGGTCCTCCTCCCCACGCCCTTGCCATGACTGCCCAGGATACTGTCCTTTCTTCTTCCACTCATCTGCGTATTCAGAATCACCTCTGAGGCGATTATCAGATCTGTGCCTCTGGGCCCGATCGTTTGGGAGAGGCTATCTCTTGCCAACAACTCTCCAACTGAATCACCTCACGGAGATAACCTGATACTCCGAACTCACAAACCCAAGATTCAGCCAGCACCTTCTCCTGACTTCTAACTACTTGCACCAGTTTCCTAATTCTCCAGGACAGAAAGAGTCGCCGGAGACTCTTGCCTTTCTCTGTCTTCCCCATCGTCTCTGGGCTGTCAAAGTCTTGGTCACTTGACCTCATTTTCATTCTTGTAACCACGCTTTCCAGTTCAGCCTGTGCGCATGCCTCGCGAATTCCAAGGAACCCCTGGTCGTTTTCCCACGGGCTTCTTAACCCTGAAGAGGAGACAACGCCCAGGAGCTCTGTGGCATTCTTTCCCCTTTCATAAGTAGGCAATTGTAGGTATGGCACTTGCTTAGCTGGAGACACCAGACCCTCCGCCGCCGGGCTCCAAACTGCAGCCCCACCACATCTCCCATGCTCTCCCAAAAGATCTCCTCCTGAAGGCCTTTTGCACCTCCCTTCAGGGTGTGCTCTCATCCAGAGTGCTCACCATCCTCTCTGCCCACACCCCCCACATCCACCCCTAACGTCAATTCCAGAAAAATCTCTCCCCCTCCCTGCTGTGCTCCCAAATGCCTGTGCTTTAAGTCCTGTGGACATATGGACACTGTTGGCTCCACCATCATCTCTCTCCTTTTCATGATAAACAGATCACTGGTACAGAGAGCCTTAGAGGGGCTCTATTCCAGCCCTTCATGCTACAGATGAAAGGCCTTAGAGAAATAAAATGCAGAGCAGAACCAGGATTCAAACCCCAGTCTGCAGAACAAAGCACTGGATTCATTACAGCAAAATGAGACTGCACACTCCACATAGTAAGCAGTATCAAGTTGCTGTAGGGCAGGATGATGCCAAAATAAAAATATATGTTCCCTTTTCAATGCACAGATGGGCTTTGATCATTTATGGACGATGCTATAACTGAGGTTGGTTCCAAAGAAGACTACTGTTTTGAGTTAAACACATTGATAGCACACTGAGATTCTGAATGAAGGTTTATTTTAACAGGTCTTTGTGTAACTTCAGAGTGCAGATTGGACAGGGTACTCATGGAATTTCCAATGGCCTGATAGACGTCTTTATCTGGAAATCCTGTCATGTTCTCAAAACTCGTTATAGCCAAAATCAGATTCTTCTTAAATGCCAATCCTCAGTCTCTGCTCATTACCCCTGATCATGGCCTCCCTTGCTCCCTGTCACCCATGCTGTGAACCATGCCTGTTATCAAGCTTTAGTAACTTCTACCTACAACCTTTCTCTGACGCCTCTCCCTCCTCCCCTCTGCCCACTGCCACTGCCTAATTCAGACCTTCAGAGCACATGCTCCATAACATCACCCCCCAAGTTTTTCCCTTGTAATCTCTCCTATGATGGCTGTCAGATTGACAGGGGAACTCAAGAGTTAAAGATTTTAGCCTTTGCTGTAGTTGATAGGCTCAAGCGATTAAGGCACTGGAAGGCTGTTATTCCAGGAACAGGAGTTCGTGACCACATGACTCCAGGAGGTGGACAAGCAGTTCGACCTTTGTGCCCCAGGGGGTCTGCAAGCCTTGAAGACAGTATCTAAGTCATTGTGTTCCAGAGGGACCACCAGTGCTGCAGATGAAGAACTGTTCATCAACAGACAAAGAAGTACAAGGAAAATCGCCTCCAGACTGCAACTCTTATCCAATTAACCTTTCCCCAAACCCTTTATCTACCCTTTCTTCTCCTTATAAAAAGTTTGTCTTGAAATGAGATGTTAAGGTGGTTTTTGACTGTACATAACCCGCCGTCTCCTCAGATCACTGGCCACCTGAATAAGGTACCCATAAAGCTTCAATCCTTGTCTCTACATTATTGGTTCTGGTAGGGACAGACAGTACAAACCCCGACTTTTCCAGTTTCAAGATCACTTGTTTTAAAGTGCCACTTTGAACAGGAGACAGTCTGGGCTCTGCAATATACAGTGGTCCTCTGCCTGCAAACCTGAGAACCCCTTGCTTGGACACTGAAGGCTTCACAGGCCCTGGCACAAAGCTTTCTTCTCTACCTTCTGCTCTGCAGCCCCCTGTCATGCACCTGTGTTCTCCTCAAGAATTCTTGGTTGCCTGTGTCTGTTTCTACAGGCATGTTCCCTCTTCTTGTCATACTCTCTCCCTTATTTTCCAGCCCAAGTTACAACCACACATCAAATTTTACTCCTTCAAGTCCTGGTTCGAACGCTGCTTTTTCCATGAAGCCTTCCATCCTAATCTCCTGGTTGGAAAGATGCTCTCCCACCTCTGGAATCACACACCTCTTTTCTGCCTGGTGTAGCAGATTAGTAGACTATCTGTGCATCTCCTATAGCAGCTAGTTCATCTATAATTCTTCCGCAGTGTTGAGGGACCTGCAAACAGCATATTGTTTCTCAAGGTGCAGTCTGGCATTGGAACAAGAGAAAGACTTCTCTTCATCTCTTCTGCCCCAGTTGGGGCAGCCTCAGGGGATGTAGGGCTTAGTGGAAACCCTGATATATATGGTCATCTGTGTCTATATGTACAAAAACTTGGCTCAGATATGTGACAAGATGGGCATAATAATGCCCAGTAGAAGCTTATTACAATAAAGTCAATGGGCACTAAGGGTTATTTGCCTCAAAATCTCTGCCACAGCCCTGGGAAGTGTGTCCAATTGTCTTCAGAAAGCTGCTGTAAAATCTTATGGCTCCTGCTTGGGAGGGGTCACCCATTGTAAGCATTTGTTAACATGCAAGCATAGTTTAATTTGTCAAATAAGCCAGCTTTGCTGTAACAAAACCCAGAGTGTCTGAGACACAGTGTAAACATTCAGGTGTCCAGGAGAGGGAGGCTCCCCCATGAGGATCCTGGCCCACTAGAGGGTGGCCTGCCAGAGACCAGCAGATTGAAGGAATGCTAAAATGTGACAATCAAGGCTATCTCTGCTCCTCTATCCTTTTGCCCAGAAAAGCCCTGAAGACAATTGTTTTGAGTTCCATAGAGGGGCAGCTTACAAAAGCTAATTAATCAAGTAATCATCATGCAAAGTAGGATTTGGAGACTTCTGTCTATATCTTGCTCTGCTGTCTGATCTGGGTAATTTGTTACCACTGTGTACCTACCTATAGGTCCTCACCTCTGTGTTTCCTGTTTCACTGAATCCCAACTCTATTCTGAGTAAAAACTTAGTTCCTCACTCTAACTGGGTCCTACATTTCAGAAGCCTGGTTAGGATGGAAGAGAGTAGTAAAAGGAGGTATTCAGCCAGTGGTCTCCAAAGGCATCTTCATAGCCAGATGGCTGATTCATTCATGAGATAAGGGAAGGGAACCTCCGCAGGTGACGGCATTCTTGCAGATGGTGTCTTGCAGGCACACCTTCATTTCCTGAGTCTTACTGCTTTTAAGAGGTGATTATTTCACTCCTCATCAGATTCATGTAGAATTTACTCATGCTCTGATCTCTCCTGTGTATCCTAATTTCATAAATTTTTTACCTTTTCCAAAATCACTAGGAAGAGTTTGTTGTGAAATACTGTAGTGGGAGTTCTTTAAGTTCTCATCTCCTAAGTCCTGGGGGTAAAGATGATTACAGCCTTGTTATGACACAGTCTTCTTAAACAGAAGTCTCTCTACAGAACTACACCTGGCAATTCATGCTCTTGGTTATGTTTCATTTTGGTCTCCTCATAATATCAGAAATTCCACAGTTGGGTTTAAAGAAAGGACAAAAGTGAATAATCTGATACAGAAAGTCTGGGTTTAATTACTTAGAACTTAGAAAGCAGCTTGCACTTTTGAATGAAACTACTCTATGCATGCAAGAGATCATTAACTTTTTCATAACTTTTTTACATCATTATAGAGTGAATGTGAAAGTGACAAAGTTGGGTGAACTATGTGTGCATCTGCCTTTCTGCTATGCTTACTACCTTCCTCTGGAAATAAAGAACTCTCCAAGCTATTTACCTAACTAAGAACCAGTCTATCAGCAAAGGAGAAACACAAAGAAATCCCACAGCATATGAAGTTAATTTCCATACCACTACTGGAAG